CAATCATATAATCTATATTTTTTCCTAACTAATCAACAATATCATTAATCAATATACTGAGCATTTCTAAGAACTTAATTAAATTATTCTATCAAAAATGTAGTCTTAATCAAAATTCTTAGTAATTGAAATTAATAATAAATTTGAATAATTAATTTCAACAGTCAAAAAAGTTTGTTGAGTTATTTTTATTGTATGTTGTAATTACTGAGATCTACATGAAATACAATCTGACCACGTCGAGTAATCGTTGGCTCGGGTAAAACTGTTAAAACGTCTTCTAAATGTTGTATGTTGCAAATGTCATCAACGGTTGGATATGAAAAGGTCATTCCTGTATTACATTTAGATTCTTTAACTTTTCGTAAAAATTTAACCGTAGGAGTTACACCATTAATCGACAAAACCTTACCGACAAAATGTTTCAAACTCTTTTTTGGTGGAGAATCGAACAATAATCCAGTCATTTACTTTAAGTCTTTCTTGATTTTCAGAAAAATATTTAAACTCATGTAATCCAAAGGAGGTTATTACATCAGGGAGCTCAAAATTTTCCTTATCTTCTTGTTCTCTTAGGGTTTCAGAAATGTAAAAATCATTTATTCTTTCATAATCATCATCTGTGTCAACTGTCATAAAATCATTACCCGCAGATATCGAGCTTGACTCACTATCGTCTGGTGTAGGCCGCCTTCTTTTGATTGAAGTACGTCGTCTGGCTGATTTTTTCCCTTTTGAGTTATTCTTAACCTGTTTCTTTCTATCACTTTTCGTATCTTTCCTAGTATGTTTCTTCTTTATTTTCTTCGCGACTTTTTTTCTTCCCTTTCAGGCATTCTGGTAAATCAGTTTCATGTGTGGCAATGAACGATATATTTTCAGTGTTATCAGACATTCTTTTAAAAAACAAACATCAGTCACCGGTGTTCCTGCTTTTAGGAGTACATTTGATAGTATTGTTATTTTATTTTTTATAGGACGATCTTGCATGGAGTTTTCATAATCCTTTCCAGCAATTAATATTTTGGTGGTACTATTTGCGAAATCTTTTGAATGTAAATGATCTGTGAGTGATTTTCCAGTTTTAAAACGCAATGATTGGCCTAAATAAAAATTAATTACATTGATACATTGTCTACTAAGGTTTTCAGGAATATAATTATCCATATACTGAGCGATACTTAAAGACTCTTTGAAGTCTTGAACAAAATTTGTACAAGTATTTGAACAAAGATCAGTAAGTTCTGCTACAAAAAGGCCAGTATGTTCATCTAAATAGAACGATTCTTGATTTGTTTTTTGCACATTACCCAATTTAACGGATTTCGCTTTTGTTTTTTTATTGCAAGTATCCACATTTAAATCAGAAATGCTTACTGATTTGCCAGGCTCGCAATCAATTTTTTTACTCCTCTGTACTTGCATAGGCTTTTGAGCTCTGGTTTCTAACAAATAATCTACCAGTACTTTATCGATTCCACAGGACAGTATTTCCCCTTGTATTTCTGGAATCTTCTTAAGGACTTCCTGTGGATTCAGGGGAAATATTCCCGATGCCCTAAAGCCACTTATTATGTTCTTTTTTCCGTTATTTTAATTGCTTCTGTTAATTTATTAAGCAATTCCGGAAAATGTTTTTTGTTTAATGTGGCTTGGGTTGGATTCTTGAGCTTGTATTGGTACAAAATTTTACGCCAGCATCTTTTCAAAGGCGCAAAAAACACATATAAAGGAAGGCACCTACCATCTGCGGTAGCCGTAAACATAAGGGATATGTTTCCTTTGGTGGAATTAACTATTCTCTCTGGATATTTTACTCCCCTTCTAAAAATGCTCTTAGAAGAGCCAGGGTCGACGGAAAGGTTGGTCTCATCGAAATTTACGATATTTTCTGCTGGTATGTTTTTTAATGTTGAAGTTAAGTTATTAAAATAGTTGAGTATGTCTTGAGCTCCCCTTTCAGCTCACGCCTTTGAAATATTTTGGGTAGTTCGTAAGGTCAATTCATCAGCATGCCTTGCCAAAAAGCTTTGTACCCAAGCATCACCGGGAATCTTATTCTTAAAAATATGATCTATTGAGTTATTTTTTGAGATATTCGTAAACCAATAGCTTTAGATCAAGTTTTGTAAGCGGGGAGCCAAAATCGCTAGAAGCTTGTAAAACCTTAACAATTTGATCCTCTTCTTTAGTTGATAGAGCAGTAGGATGTCCGACAGACTTCATGTGAACTCGTTTTATTTTATTAACTATAGTCCGCCTTGGGATTCCAAACTGTCTTTGAGCATCTCTTGATGAAATTTGACCTGATTGAACAGATTCACATGCAAGACAACCTGGGAGGGGGCAAAACAAACAAAAAAAAGCATCAACATTTCTTCAGAGTAATTTTTATACACCCTGGATCCAAGTTCACGTCTTGACCTCCTTTGTTAAATACGTGATTTATGTTTGTTTTTCTGAAATAAAAAAATGCAAATTATTTTATAACAACATAGTAAATAAGATAACTAATCTATTCATGGAAATTACATAAATTCTCAAGAAAAAAGTAATTTAACCTACAAAAAAAGTTTAAAATTTTTAAAATAATGACAATTTTTGAGCTAAAAAAAAAGAGACGAAAAGAGAGTAAATACGAGCTAAAAAGCGTAGGGAATAGCTAACCAGAGTCACTATGGCGTTATGGTCTACCATAAAAACACAACATACTACACCATTAACCCAGAAAGCATTACATTCATTTTTGGCGGTCATGTAGAGAGAAAATAAAAAGTGTCAACCCTTAACGTTTTTTGACGGCGGGCAATGTTGACATTTACATGACTGCACATCACTTGGTAACTTTGCCCGCCTTCATAACTTTTGTAACACACAACCTACAGCAATGAAACTATTATCAAAATACTCAGCACATTGTTTTACACAACAAACATACGATTAAACTTACCTGTGTTTTCGCCATAATGCACAATTCACTTGAAAAAATCCACAGAAATTGGCCCGCCAAAAAAACGCACCGTTTTCGACAAGTGCCGACAAAGGTAACTGAGTGACGTTGAGATCGGAAACAGTATTTTGTGTTGCCACACGTATATTTTATTTTCTACCAATATTAAATGCTGTCCTAAGTTTGGTAATTTTTTTATTAGTTGATTTCCTTAAAAATTGTGTTTCGGGCAAAGTTTTCCCTGGTGGCAAAGTTGGCGTATTTCACGGTTTATGAAAATGTAATGTACGTACACAAAAATAAAAGTAGTTTTGCGAAAATAAGTGATATTCATTCTGTAAATACTAGGAGCAGACACAAGCTGGTAGTACCAGTTACTCGACTCCACCGAATTAGTAATTCATTCTTGGGGCGATATATACGCTTTTACAACAAAATCCCAGAAAATATACAAAATCTGTCATACACAAAGTTCAAAAATGTTGTTAAACTAAGTTTGTATAAAAAGGGTTATTATAATATTAAGGAATTTATAGATGATAATAACCCCTGGGAAGGGTGATCGCTACCAAGCTATTTCTAATTTGTCTTGTGTTGTTGATTGTAAACATGATTGTACAGAGGTATTTTTTTGCGAACCAGTGGTAAATTAAAAAAGTGACTTTTAATAAGTATTTTTATAATCTACATTGAATAAAAAAGTTTCTATTTCTATTACATATCGGTGTACAAGGAAATGAAAAACTCAGAAAGCGTCCCGCGTGCCCTGCAAGATGTTCTTAGGAATACTAAGACATATTTAGCACTTTGCAATTTTATTCATAATACCGTAAAAGAAATATGAAATATGGTTTTCCTGGATTGACACTCATAAAGATTATAATATAAAGAAAACGTGGCTTTAGTCTTTATGGTTTTCGAAAATATGAAGAATTAAGGAAAATAAGACTTGGCTTCGGCCTTTATGAATTTTGAACAGATGGAAAGAAGAAAAATAAGACTTGATTTCGGCCTTTACATTTCAAAATTCTATATATTCAAATTAAAAAAGACAAGGCTGTATGGCTTAGTAGTTAATAAAAACAACAACAACAACCACAAACCACAAGTAGCCACAAGCACAGACTAGATAGAGAAGCCATGTACGATATATTCGTAGACAGGGGATATATTACTTTCCTCTATGAGAAGCCACAACTCAAGTCATCAAGTTAGGGATAGCGATTATTTTCGAAAAAGATCGATTTTTAAATCGATTCGAATCGTGACCTAATGAATCGATTCACAAAAAAATCGAGGTCTATAAGATCGATTTCCGAAAAAGCGATCTTTTTTTCAAGTTTTCGTTTATAATGTAATATTTTATTAAAAACAAGGTACATGTTATAATTTAATGATCTCTTATCAGTAAAATCAGGTAATTCGATAATAAAAAATATTTTCATTACCATGTCAAACTAACAGATAAAGTATAAAATAAGACATTTATTTTCTACATTTAGAAATTTTACAGAGTTAAGAAAATGGTTAAGAAAAATCGTTCACAAAGTTAATAGAAAATGTAGCTTATAGTTCCCAATGCTTAATATCTAAACTTTTTAAAAACAACAGTCTATCAAGTCTACGGGGATCCAAGCGGTTTCGCTCATCCGTTGCGATGTTTCCGGCAATTGAGAAAAGGCGCTCACAAGGAACAGATGATCCTACGATACTCATATACATCACAGCTATTGAGTGAACTTGGTGATAAATAGAGTTTTTTTGTTCTTGCCAGTAGAGTATAGGATCATAATTTAGGTGCACAACTGCCTGCGATAAATAGTGTTTAAATTCTTCATTTAAGCCTTCACTTTCCTGTGCATGTGCAGTATATAAAGAGAGTTGCTTTTTCACAAGCAACTTATGAAAATCCCAAATTCCTTTTTTCATATCATTACCAGTCTCTTCAATGGCGTCGACTTCTTCGCTATTATTTTGTGGAAGTTGTTGCCGCGTAATATCTAAAATTGAAGTGTTTATTCTATTTATTGCTCGAGAACAGGCGACATGGTCAGTAAAATGATTTTTTTTTAAATCTAGGATCTAAAATGGTCGCAGCAGCTAACAAATGAACTTGTTCAACCATTCCAAGTCTTTTTTTAGGGCCGTCCACTATTAAAGTTCGTGTTTTAGCACCAATATCGGTTGAATTTTCCATTGTATTATATGTTTCAGTCAGACAAGATACGATTGGTATAATTTTACTGGCTGTAACATAGTTTTCTCCAGATATTTCCTTAGTTATTACTTCTAATGGTCTCAATATATTTATAAGATCTTTTATGAATTCTAACTGCTGTGCAGTAAGCATTGTTGGAGCTTTAGGATACTTGAGTAATATTGGCGCAATTATTTCGGATAACTCAACAAATCGTTCTAATTGATAAAAAATAGAATTCCATCTGGTACACACAGATTGAATAAGCCCCAAAGGCTTTGTTTGGTGATCCTGAGCTTTCTTTAAAGAGTCAGCAGCATTTGTATTTTGCTTAAAATATGTAGTAATATCTTTAACAGCTGTTAATAAATTCTTTGCTTCGTCTAGTCCATCCTTATTGTCAAATGGTTGTGACGCTACTAGGTTTAATGTATGAGCAAAGCATGGCATGTGTTTATTTTTGCCATAAACATTTGTGACTGCTTTAACCCATTGTCCGTGATAAACGCTACCACTTTGTCACTTGTGATGTCCCATTTTTCTGTCATATTAATAATTACTTGTGCTAAGTAGTCAGCATTGTGTGGTTCTGTTAGAGCAGTTACATCGAAAATTATGCTCATTAATTTATTTTCATATATACAATGACCAGTTAAGCCTAAGTAGCTTTGACTATTATGCGTGTCGGTCCAAACATCTGCAGTCAAAGATAGTGCTTCTACTTCTTGTATTTTTAATTTCAGTTGTGCTGAAAGAACGTTATATTTATCATCAATCATGTGGGTAATTGTTTTTCTGGCTGGAACTTTATATAGCGGTGCCACTACTTTCATCAAATATTGAAATCCTGTTTTTTCCACAGTATTTAGAGGCAAGCTATCCTTTGCTATCATGAAGACTATTGCATTGGCTAGTTGACCACTTTTAACACCATTATCTGAAAATTAAAAAAAAAGTTATAATTTTCGATCCTGTATCTATACATCTCACTTTCATGAAAATTTATTAAAAAAAAATATTTCAGTTTCTTGTCTTACCTCGAAATGATTTTATATTTGTTAAGCAAGATGCCAATGTTGGCTGTTTTAAGACTGATACAGAGACAGAAGAAGAAGCCACGCTTTCAGTATCCGAATTATCAACATTTTGAGAATCTGGAACTGGCACGATGCCTAAAGCCATGTAATCAAAAACCTAAAATAAGAAATATATTACTTCGATTTATTGAACATTAATTCTTATTTTGTTCAAACTCAGTACATTGGGAAACACAGGATGTGATATAAGAAATACAGGCTCCACTCCACTCACTTGTCCATCACCATTTCGTGCATTACCACAATTGCCACCACCACTTTCACTCTTCTTTTTGAGACTTACGGTCTGAATTGTTGGATGACGTCTTAATAAATGATTACGTATGTTTGTTGTGTTTCCCTTAGTTTTTACTTCCTGGTGACAATATTTGCATTTGCCTCCTGAGTCTTTTTTTATGAAATGATTCCAAATATCACTTTTACCCGACATGCTGAAAAAATACATTATTTCATCATTAAATTTGATAAACAACGAAATTTTTAGTAATTAGTTGCCTACTAGTTTTAAGTAATATTCAAAATCCTATTAGCATCAATTCCTAAACAATTTAAAAGAAGACTTTATATGAAAGATTAGTAAAACATTTAAATAGTAAAACAATTAAATAGAAATAATATTTTTTTTATAGGATAGGGTGACAAACGAGCACACAGTCCACCTGATGGTAAGTGGTTGCTGTGGCCCACAGACATCTACATCTATCCTCGATTACGAATCAAAATGCAGATGCGTTGTCACCCGTGAGGACTAAGATGGAATGCCTCGTTTCCAGTAAAAAGGGTCTCCGGTTCTCTACACTCACCATACGAAATACAGCAGCATTAAGCTACTATTTCACGCTGGTATTCTGTGAGAGCGTGGTCCTTCCCCGGTCGAGCCGACCCATTCGTGCTACAACTATACTACTAATATAACTGCAGCATGGATCTACCACGTATAGTCTTTTTGTAAAAAAAAACCTTTATAGGTTTATCAGGTTATAATTGGATTTGATTTAAAAATCGATCTTTTTCGGAAAGAATTGCCCACCCATCCTTAGCCTGGCGTTTTTACCTACCAAATATGTATGTATTGTAGGTGACCGCAGACCGATTTTACTTGATAAAAATAAGATTAATTTCGGTAGTTTATTTTTAAAAAGATAATCAGGGCTTTACTATTACTTTCTATGTAAACAAAATAAACAATTTGAGGTTATATAGATAAATGAACATAATAGTAGAAGTAAGTATGCACACTTCCTTAAGGAGTTCCACATATGACTTACTTATTAGTTATTTCAATGCCCAATATTGATTATTCCTATCTAAACGTAAATGAATTACATACATGGTTAGATTTAATGATCACAACTAATAGACTAAACTGAAAATAATAGCACGAAAGTAAAAAACAAAATAAAGCGCTTTACTTACCTACTTAGTCTCAATTAGTTATTATTCCGCAACAAACACTACATAAAAATTAGTATTTATATCGCTTTACGAGAATCACTCAATCAATCAACAATAAACGAATGAAATAAATACCAAAAATAAATTATGGCTGGCATGACGCAACTCAGTCCAGTCACAGATACAAACAAAAACAAAAACGTAACTTTTTTTATTCAAGAGATGCGAAGGAATCTAAACATACAGCCATCTCGCGAGTTTTTGAATAACTAAATCTTTGACCGGCAGCCCTCTTATAATACGGATACATTCAATTAATTGTAAATAGTTTTATGGTTTATACCAAAAAAAAAAACGAATGTCGATTTTCAATGGTGAAATATCGATTCACCGAATCGATTCAGTACTACATATCGATTTAAAAAATCGATCCTTTTGGCTCCAAAAATCGATTCTTCGATTAATCGATTTCAGATCGCCATTCCTATATCAAGGGTACGTTCCGAAATACAACGCAGTGTACTGTCCAATGCAAATGACGTCATGAATCGTCGCTATACTGGTGATTCGTTCCAAAACATTGGACAGTATATGACGTCATACTTTTGCGCCATTTGGAAAAGTGTTGGCGATTATTTTGTCATTTTGTGCTCCAAAAATCATTATATCCTCCTAATGGATATACCATCAATTATTCTATAATTTTTTGTATTTGAATAAATAGAAACAAATTCTGGCATGCTTCATTCGGGAAACACACAATTAAAAATTGTTTTATTATGGCCGGATATCCGACACAATATGGCGGCGGCACGCTAGTACAATATAGTAAAGTGTCAAATGATACGTCATTTGCATTGGATAGTACACTGCGTTGTATTTTGGAACATACCCCAAGTGTCGTGTAACTGTCACTGATGTGAAGATAGTTTGTGTTAAAAAATAAAGTAATACATTACATATATTTGCAATTACCTATATTTAATAATGTCACAACAATTAGAATTACTTTTGGATAGTCAAGGACAATGGACATCTGCTTTATACGTTATCCCGGAAGTACAGAAAAAGGAAATAAAACCCTTTATTATTTGTGCGTTAACTTTCTTGAGATGTAATTTGTAGTTGTTTTGCCAAATCTCTTGGCTATTAATGATTTTACAAATAGATAACGTAATTAATTTTCAGTAACTTTGAAAGAACTCGAAGGTAATCCTGACAGTCGAACTTCCAATTTGACGAACTCTAAAAAGTTCGCAGCCGTGAGGGCTGTTGTAAGGCATGTGGCCAGGTCCAGGTCTGCTACTAAGGAGCCCTGGAATGCGGAAGATATAAGAACATTTCTTGAAAATCTGAGGTAAGTCTCATCACCTGTTTTGGGGTTTTCTTTAGTAATCTGCTGCATGAATATATGGTCGCCGAGTGGGTGGGGGAGGGGGCGGAACCGGGTAAGGTTTATAATTCGGTCGCCTGAATGGGTGGGGGTGGGGGTGGTGGACTCACACTCGACCCCGTCATCCCCTTCTAACCTAACCTGTCTGAGTCGGGGTGACAAAACTATAATCACTTTAATTTGTAAACATGATTCATGGCCACCACCATTTGCAAAAAAGGATCTCTGTGTGTCTCGCCACAAATATTCCACTATAGCATCACCAAAATTCTGCGGATGATTATAATTATCTTTTTTAAAAAAATGTTTCACAGCTCTCCATTGTGACTCTATTTGTTGAGTATGAACCCCGTCGAGCGACAAATGGATTGTCAGGGTCCGAGTGGTTTACTTTTTTGTGGGTGTACCCATGTTCCTGTAGGCAGTCATATGCTCTCCAAAAATCGGTATGAATTGTGGTGCCTATCTCTATATGTTTTTTAATTAATGGCACCAGAATGTCAGCAGAACGTATGTTGTCAGGGCACACCTCTAATCTCAGATCCTCAGACCCATCCTCAATCATTCCAAGGACCCAATGGCCCTCAATATGGCATCCTACAACAAACATAATATTCTTAAATTACAGTAATTAAAAGTTTAAGAGAACAAATAGAACGAGATAAATCAAAATTACCTTTGTTATACCACCGTTTCCCAAATTTTGACTCATCGACCTGCATAACTTTTCCTGGGCCACCAATTTTTCCACTGTGCTCCATTTTTTCCAAATAATATATCACTATGCATTCCCGACAATAGCTGAACCAATCAACAATAGTTGTTCTGCTTAAACATTGTTCCCTCTCTTCCTTGTAAGGATCCTCATTCATTGTAATTTCACAGCTCCATTTGTGAGCATACGCATATATCAAATAAAAAACATGCACCAATGGAATATTGAGATTTTCAAAAAATGTTCCAGCTGTCCGTGACACTTTTCCCTTCAGCTTACATTGGCCTTTTGTGCAAATCCAAGCACCAAATGATTTGTTGGCCAATTTTGCCAATCGCATGGGTGTACAGTGTGTGCGGCATATTTTTTGTGAATGCACCATTCCATTATCTTCAGCAAAACCAACACACTGTTCATGTGTCCCAGGTTCTTTAATAATTTTGGATAAATTCCACATTTTAACAACTTCCTCTGAATTTAATCGAAGAAATTGTTATCGGGAACTGTGGAATCAGTCGAGGTCACAGTTCCTCTCAATCCTAAGCTCGTAGACGGCCCAGGTTCCGAATTTCTGTCGGTTGCCGACATAGTTTGCTTGTCGATGTCCAGTGAGTAAGCCAAAGTCGTCCAGAGATGCAATCCAATCGGTGTCAAAAGGGGTAGCCAAGTCGTCGAAAAATAGCAAGCAAACGGTCCAGGGGGGAAGCGAAGTCGTCAAAAAACAGGAGAAGGCATAAAAAAGATTAGGGAGCACATTCACATATACTCGGAAGCAACGGAATGACGTAAAGTATATATGTCACTATCAACAAAATGGCCGGCCTAGTGATTCATTTTACACATTTTTAAATCTATTCGAATCGAAATCTAATAAATCGATTTGCAAAAATCGATCTTTTTTTGATTAGCGTTAAAAGTTTATCTTTACAATATTAAAAGATACAATAAAGTACAGATAACATTGAATGATTGAATTGAAAAATTGTCATTCTTTACGAGTTGGTGTACATTCAACTAATTGTAAATAATTTTACAAATCTTAAACAGAAAAAGATTCGATCTCGATTCTCTATGGTGAAATATCGATTCACTAGATCGATTTAGTATTATATATCGATATGACATTGACAGTTGAAACGTCAAAAACGTAATTAATTAGTCATTTACCAATATTTTTAAAAAATAATTAAAAATACTTCGACGCTGCTCCGGCTGCAAAAATTGAGTGGGGGTGCTTCAAATAAATTCCCTTGACCTCCCCACAGTGACAAAATCTTCAAATTCAGGGCAACCGAATTGTAAACCCAACCGGCGGAACCTCCCCCTGAAAGGAAAAAGTGCCTGAAATACCCCTTTTTTGTGAATTTTTTATGTTTTGTTACATTAACTCTTTGAGCCACACTTTTATATTTCGAATAATATAAACAAAAAATATATATGGCTGTATTAGTTAGGAATACTACATGTATAAAAAAATTAAAAAATTGCTTCAGCCTTAAGGCTTTTGAGGAATGAGGTGGTTACCAGTACTAACCACCGTGGCTATAGAATATAACATGTATGACGAATAAAGAACTTTATTTTTAGAATTATTTCCTTACTTCAACTACTTTTTGTGAAAATCAGCAAAGCAAGTTTTTTCTTTACGTTTGCAAAAAGGGACTTTACACATGCTACACTCCCAAACTGTGCATACTGGATGAGATTTCGTACTGCACTTGCAGCAGCACCTAGATGTGCCCTATTGTGGTTGGTGCCGACTACTTTCTAAACATATTTCTTGGGGAACTGTTGGTTTGTGATGTTTTATTAGCACAGGAATCGGAGAATGCGCTGGAAAACTGATATTGGAACCGTAAGATTGCTTATTCACAAAAGCAGGGGCAAGAATGCCCTGGTAGACAGAACGGCGGAATTCCTTCATTGTCAATCTTGACAGTCCTATATGATCAAGTTTTTGAAGATCTTTTAAATAACAAAAGAATTTACCAACGCGCAGTCCACGAAATGAAAGAATATTCTATGCCACCATTTACGAGACTTTCTTTCAATGGCATAACAGCTTTTGAGTTGGTCAAACTTGTCTACAAGGTTCATATTTGCGTTGTAATCCTTTACAACTTCAGGGCAAGCTATCTGGTTTGAGTCACTATTACGCTCTTTGCGAATAAAAGTACTGACATTTCGTAGGTCGTGGTAGTTTGATAAAAGGTGGACTACCCTCTTGTCTTTCCACTTCATCACAGTCACATTAGTGTCACTGACTCGATAGTCATGTTCACCCCTTTCTAACTTAGTATCTTCTTTGAGTGTAGGTAAATGTTTTCTAGTAGCATTTACAGTACCACAAGCCAAGATTTTGTCGTTGAGTAAATCAATCTGCAATTTGTAACTGTTAAAATACTTATCAAAGTACACTCTGTGATATTTGCCTTTGAGATCTATACATAATCGCTTTACTATTGTCGCACCCAAATCTTTTTCTACATTGTGTTCTTGTTTGTCTGTATATAATTGAAAATTGAGACAGTAACCAGATTCAGCACACTTCATCCAAACTTTATAGCCCCATTTGATCGTTTTTTTCGGCATGTACTGCTTTAGAGAAGACCGTCCTTTTAAATTTTATCATACTTTTGTCTACTGCAACTTTTTCTGAAGGTTTATAATTAGCGCGGAAGTTTCTTTGAATAATAACAAAGGACAAATTTTATACAATTTATCAAAGTTGGGACTCTGTCTAGAAGGAATCAAGCTATTATCGTTCAAATGAATATGATTCAAAAGCCACCCAAATCTGTTCAAAGGCATAAAAGAGGAAATATAGCTATCATGTAGTCAGATGCCCAATAATCTTTGTAGCTTGGTAGCTTTTTAATACCCATAACCAAATTTAGAGCCAGAAACACATCAATCTCTTCAGGAGTAGTCGGTTTATAGTTTTTACCAGTTTGAGCAGCGTATAAGTTGGTTTGAAAGCTGATTATTTCTAGCAAATCCTCTGTCCAAAACAAGCGAAAAAGTGGTAGAGGCGTTATATTTTCCATGCTTTGAATATGTTCAGGAATACCAGAAATCTCACAAAAAGTACCAGGCAGTTTCATAGTGTAGCTTTTTTCCATTTCGGTGGCCGAAATGTCGAAGAAATATCATCACGTGGTTGAGAAGTAGAAGCAGAGGTAGTAGCGGTACTTCCAAAATTAGCCAGAGGTATATCATCATCCGAGTCAAAGTTGTCATTGAATGTCTGCACAGCGATAGTGTCATTACCAAGGGTGAATTCGGGAGCTTGATAAATGTCTGGTTCTGAGCCACAGTCCGAATCTGACTCCACACAACTTTCAGGATCTGAAGGAATATCTTCTTGCAAGATATTTTGAATTTCTTTTTCTTGTAATGCGCGCTTCATCCTAAAAAAAAACAAAAACCAAATTGTAAATATCTAGCAAATTATATGTAACTTATTGGCCTATTATGTCACGGTGATTACCTACAGTAACCACCACATTCAAGTACTATTTTAGTAATGTTACGAATAATACTATAGTCAAATCTTCAGACAAATGTAAACAGCAACACTTTCGACATATTTTAAAATAAGAATGACGTTAGAATAACGAAAACATACCTGTGGCCGTGGCAGGAAAATGGGAGATCTCCCGCCGGGCAAGGTGTTCTGTCCGGGGAGCGGCCAACGCTCCGTGTGATAGTTCGGAGATGTTCTATATATACTGTTTATGATTCGGAATGTTGATAGCGTGATTTAAGGCTTCGGTGTATTTCGCTTGTGGCGCGACGACAGCGCCGCCACATCACCCCTCTGCTCAGACCGGAGGTCGATAGTGCAGCCTCGTTGCCGACGAATGTGCAAGTGCCAGGAGATTGCCTTGTAGTCTGCGGTGAGTCGAGAAGAAGGCAAGTAATCTGCGAGAGTGCTGTGAAGCAGAGGCGAGCAGTAAGGCTCAGAGCCGTGCCGAACACTCTATGGCGCAGAGAGTAGCTTGAAGGAACAGCAAGCATTATTATTCCAGTGCTGCGATGAACCTTGTGAAGCTAGATGGCTTGCAGGATATGAAGACTGCAGACGATATCTGCTCGGGAGCGAATGGGTGGGGTATTCTATGATGATGATGAAGCTTGAAGTTTCCGAAGGTTGTTGGTTGCGTGTGAAAAGGGGAGATCTCCCGCCGGGCAAGGTGTTCTGCCCGGGGAGCGGCCGACGCTCCGTGTGATAGTTCGGAGATGTTCTATTTATACTGTTTATGATTCTGAATGTTGATAGTGTGATTTAAGGCTTCGGTGTATTTCGCTTGTGGTGCGACGACAGCGCCGCCACATACCTTTTTGATCCAATAATGCAGTCTCCGTGAATTAAAACACTCACGACCCATCAAATCTCAAGTTCGTAATTGTAACTGACAATCGATTCAACTTACACCTAACGGTCGTTTATAGAAGTCAGGGATATATCTGTCATATTCATACATAAAGTTACCAAAAGGTGGTGTTATTTTTAGAATATCATAGGTAAAAGAGGTGGTTAGCGTTACTATCCACCTACGCTGAAAGAGTTAAAGGCAAAATCGCTTTCGCTTATTAAAAAAAGGGCGTCCGGCGACGAAAAAGTCACATTCGGGTCCCGGTAGGAATGTAGGAGTATTCAGGGTGGGAATTAACACTATTTTGACTCTGCTTCTGCTCCAGCGCTGCGGGAAGTGTAGCCCCTTCGCCCTTGCGTAACTAAGCACAGGCACCTAGCTCACCTGCGCAGCTTCGGCTGTTCAGCCGCTACGGCTTGTACACTGCCTGCACTTAGTTACACCGGGCGAGGGCTGCATTCACTCCGCGCTTCCGGGTTTTCATATACACTCTAGGGGTAGGAGTGGAAAGACCACGTGGAAGTTGGGGTTGACAGATTCGGTTTTGTGATTTATACCTTCTGGTACTAGGTTTGATCAAAAGAAACAACCAAATATAATATTATAAAAACATTTATTTATATACATGGTTAATTACTTTAATTAGTTCCATAAAAGGATCCTTTTTCTTTCTTTGCACTGACCTTCTCCACAAATATTTTATAATAATATCTGAAAAGTTTTCCGGGTGGTTATAATTGTATTTATTGAAAAATCTTTTAACCACCCACCATTGTGATTCGATCCTTTGAGTATGAGTGCCATCAGGGGCAACAAACGGAACGGAATAGTTCACCTTCTTGTGAATGTACCCATGTTCCCCTAAACAATCATAAGCCCTCCAGAAGACGGTTTGGACTGTGGTGCCCTCAACCACATGTTTTTTAATTAAGGACACTAGTACGCCCGCTGACCTGATGTTTTCAGGGCACATCTCTAGTTGTAAATCCTCACTTCCATCCTCAATGAGGCCGAGGATCCAGTGGCCCTCAATCCACCTTCCTATAAACAACAATAAACAATTTATAGTTAGTAAATATTCAAGATATTTATTTATTTATTTACTCTATATTGTACACCAAAACCCAACAGTACAAAATTACAGAAAAAAAAAACAAATACAAAAGTACAAAATTTTATAGTAGAATATGTACAATAGTGAAGATATATAATATAACGTAGATATATATTACGTTACTTTACTAGAAGGTGGCAGCCCTAGTGCTATTTGTTAGCGGCCAATGTTTACACCCAAGATACGAAGAATCTGATTGTAACATTGGTCGCTTTTATTTCTCGTACAAAAACACCGATCCTAAGTTATTTAGCATATCAGAACGTTTTCCTGACATCACTTTATAACATATTCAAGAACTACTCACCTAGGCTTCATTTTACCAGGATATCACAAAAAAATTCAAAAGCAAAAATTGGTCCGCACTTCGATCGTGATGACAATTTGATCACGACTGACAGCCGACTAATTGACGTAAGCAAACAAATTTAATCTATTTTCTACTACTGACTTTGAAATTTAACTATTTTACACCATTCCCATTCTAAGAGCTAATTAAGTATTTTTTTGTTTTGGCCAATGTTACACCTTAGAGGCCAAAGTTGGAGGATTTCACGGTACAGAGCTTGAACGAATTAATACAGAGTTTGAATTTATGTTTTGACTTGTTTTTGGGATTACGACTCTAGATGATAAGTGTTTTCTATATTTATCGGTATTAATATTAAAATCTAATAAAAAAGTACTTCAACAATTTCAAGCAGACATTTTATTTAAAACATGGACAA